TCCAATATCTCTTCTCTGCTCCCTTTCAAAAGTATGTGAAAAGGTATTTTACGACCAGTTGTATTGCCACGTTTCACCATGCCTTAGCCCTTCCCAATCTGGCTTTCGGCGCAACGACTCAACCTCTGACCAACTAGCTCGTCTAGTACAAGACATTGCCACCCTTCTTGATGCTCGACACCATATTGCTCTCTGTTTCTTTGACTTGGCAAAGGCCTTTGATACTGTCTGGCATCGTGGCCTCCTGGCCAAGCTACATATTGTCTTTGGTGTGTCTGGCCCTGCTCTGTCCTGGCTGGAGTCCTATCTGAGTAGCCGATCACAGTTTGTTTCTGCCCTCTCCATCAACTCTGATCCTCTACCAGTGTCTTCTGGAGTTCCCCAAGGCTCCATACTTGGACCTCTTTTGTTCGTAGCATACGTAAATGATTTACCCTCTATAGACCCAGGTGTCTCGTTATTTGCTGATGATACAACCCTACTGTCAGCATCCTCGTCCTCAGCGGCTCTTGTACCTCGAGTCTCGGCTCAGATATGCAGTGTCCTACGCTGGATGCAAACATGGCGACTTAGACCCAACCTGACTAAAACCGAAATAATGTTCCTTCCCCCAATCTCATCCATGTCACTTTTACACCATCCTGATTTCCCAGAACCCATAAAGGTTGTTTCCAACCATAAACACCTGGGAATAATGCTTGATGATCGTCTCTCTTGGTCTTTCCATATTGATGCTCTTTGCAGCCGTTCAAGCTCTGCCCTAGGTGTTATACGTCCCCATTGTTTCCATCTTCCTTTCAAATGTAAAATTTTGTTTTACAAACTGTTCATCCTGCCGCTTTTCATGTACGCTGCTGTTAGCTGGTGTGGCTTGTCCTCGGTTCTCGCTGAGCATCTCGAAATCCACCGTAGAAAACTTCTTCGCATCCTGTTTAGTCTACCCCCTCTCTACTCTTCTGCTTCCCTGTATGTCCTTGCAAATGCTTGCCCACTGTCGACCCACCGTCAAAAATTAATTTGCACTTTTGCTCACAAATTTAAACTAGCTCTACATCCTCCTCATCTTAACGTGTGTAACTGGTTCCGAATCACAGATGGCTCCCAGACAAGATGCTCTGTTGCCCTCCCCTTGGCTAAAACGTCCTCCCTTGTACGCTCTCCACTCTTTGTTGCTTACTCTGCTTGGCTTGCGCTGCCCGCTACTACGCGCAATGCCAGTACCCTGGAGGCATTTAAATCTGCTCACTAGATTCACCATCACCTGTCCCTCCCATGCTTCTCCGTCTTGACCATTACTTTTCTTCTTTTATTCACCATGGTTGGTTAACACCCACATCTCCCGTACTGGCTGATTTTCTTCTCATGCCATGAGGTGTTGTCTATAATAATAATAATAATAATAATAATAATAATAATAATGCTCAATCTGCGGACAGCATGCTGTTTCGTTCTTTTTGAACTCATCAGCGCAGCACAGAAAAAATGAGGCCGAACCTGATAGCAATGGAAATGAAAATTTCCAATCAGGCCCGAACGTACCTTGCCAGAGTGCTCAAACTGACAAGTCAGTGAGCTCTGCATAACGCAAACAGCAAAGGCACTACCCCACGCAAGAGTGCTCAACTGCTACAAGAGCAGGAGCGAAATACTCAATCTGCGGACAGCATGCTGTTTCGTTCTTTTTGAACTCATCAGCGCAGCACAGAGAAAATCAGGCCGAACCTGATAGCAATGGAAATGAAAATTTCCAATCAGGCCCGAACGTACCTTGCCAGAGTGCTCAAACTGACAAGTCAGTGAGCTCTGCATAACGCAAACAGCAAAGGCACTACCCCACGCAAGAGTGCTCAACTGCTACAAGAGCAGGAGCGAAATACTCAATCTGCGGACAGCATGCTGTTTCGTTCTTTTTGAACTCATCAGCGCAGCACAGAGAAAATGAGGCCGAACCTGGTAGCAATGGAAGTGAAAATTTCCAATCAGGCCCGAACGTAATAATAATAATAATAAGACCAGAGGTATCACACAAATAATGATGGAACAGCACAGGATTGTGTCATGGCGGCATCGCTACCTGTGAGACATACCTGGATGAGACGTGGGTCAATGCGCGTCACACAGTTACTAGGAGGTGGTACGACAATGGTGACAGGAGTATATAGGCAAGCAACCAAATGAAGCACCATCAGGTAAAGGCAAGCGCGTTATTGTTCTGCATACTGGTGGACGGGACAGATTCGTGAAAAACTGCGCCGATGTGTTCGTGACTGGAGGCCGGCGCCAACGATGATAATATACTTCTTTTTGAAGTATATACGTCGTCGGCTGTCCGAGCACATCTGTTCACTGTGTAATACTGTCGTCACAAGTGCAACACAAAACACGGAATTATTGGGGCCGTTTCGTTCCTCGCTGGTCTTCTACTATTCGCAGATGTTGAACCAGACACAATTGTGACCTATTTGCATTGTGTGTGTGTGTGTTTGTGTGTTTGTAAAACTGCTCATGCTTCCTTTTTGTTAGTCTCTTTATGGGAGCTGTGTGAATTGCCTTTGTGATTTGTTGTGGTGTTTGAATTTTCACTGCATTCTTTCAGGGATCGAGGGAAGTTTCCTACACCCATGCTGGAATGTTTTGATTTATTGAGCTAATTGCAATTTTTTTTTACTAGGGTCACGTAAACCCGTCATGTGTGAGCCATGCAATACAGGATTTGAATTATTCAGTACAGTTTGCCACAATAAGTCGTGAAAAGCCACGACTCACTGGTTTCCTACAAAGGTTAGGAGAACTGCAGACAGCAGTGCACAACTGCACAGCCATGTGCATGTACATGTACATGCATGCGCTGTACTACAGTATACCGAAAAAGAAAAGAGAAAAAAGAATCAAGATGAACTGTACTGGATTCGAACCCATGCCGGGCACCATGCAAGTGATGAGCTTTCCTGGCTAAAACTTCCGTTTTAAAAATCAAAATCCACTGAAAACCATTTAAAACCGGATTTCCAGCCGAAACCCGGCCGAATATCTAACTTTGACAATTATTATTATTCCGACTCCCAAACTTAATTTTCTTCGATCCAAGACCCACACAAACGCAGCTGTGAAGAAAAAATTTCAAATTTGGAATGAGAACAAACTAAAAAATCAAAATCGACAATGGTCTGTTATAAAAAAACGCACTGTAGCAGTCATAAAAATCTACAAAAACAAAAAAATATTTTTTAGAAGTGAAATATTGGATGCATGGTTTGATGACGAGTACTCCACAAACAAAGAAGAAGAAGAAGAAGAAGAAGTCATGGATACATGGATAGATGATGAACACTCTACCAGCAAAGATAAGATGATAGCGGACTACATTGATTATAGATACCAAGAATGGTTTCCTACAGATATAAATTTGATGATTTTGGAAAATGAAGTAACTCAAGAGGATCTTGAGGTGTATGAGATGAAGAAAAATGATCTGTATGATACCACATCTTTCTTCGAAGAAATAGAAAAATCCAAAACCAGAACAGGAATCGAAACAAGATTGGAGATAACCCTGAACAAGGTTGGTTTACCAAAATATCTTAGCAAAACCCCATTCAACAATCTTGTTGATGAAATTCAGAGGATCAAGGAAGTAGCAAATAAAGAGAAAAAAGTCAAAGTGAGTTATCCATTCCTAATTTCGAAACTCATTGATGATGAAGATGATGTGATCAAGATCAAACCATTCATTCCAAAGTGTAAAAAGTCACAACAAAGACTTGATGCCATATGGGAGAATTATAGAAAATCGAATGTGTAAGAAACAGTTAAAAAAGTCTTTCTTTCTTTTCTTCTTTTTTCTCATGATCACTGGACAAACTGCTTCATCATATCCGGAGCATAACTAATGAATGAAATGCTGCTATCAAACCCCTCCTCAGCCAGATATCTGGGTATTTCATGGTGTCCGAATGCTAACGTACTACATCCATGTTCGGTGATGTATAGTTTTGTGTCCAATGGTGATAAGGCTATCTTATTAACCGTTTCTCCGAAAATAACGTGTCTATGACTCCGGAGTGTTGTCATTTCTCGATGGAACACGGATTGATCCAAGAGACAATTTCGAAAATCATCATGTATGATAGATTTCTTGAGCACTGCTGTGTTCACCCCCTTTGCTCTTTTTCCGCTTTCCTCGCCAGAGTAATTGTACATCTTGGAACGAAGTCCTGCAAACTCAGTTATCAGTTTCCCACCGAGTTCATCTTTGAACAGGCCAACAACTTTCTTGTTTTTCTCAGAATATAACGGATGTGATTGATCATAATTGCTTGCACATCGCCTCTCATTCCTGATTCCACAAACAAGTGCTGATCATAGTCTGTTAGTAATTCCAAGGACACACCTGAGTACATCAAAAGAGCATCCCAGGCAAATCCAGGCAGAGTGTAGTAATTTGCTGGATCCAGCTGATACGTTCTGACAGCTTCTACTCTGAAATTCCCAAACACGTCAGCCAAGAGAAACACGTCGGTCTTGAGATACAAGTCGTGATAATCACCAAGAGTCTGACAGTCAAATTTCATCCAGATTGTCTCAGCATGTTTGTAGTCATTGTCTATCACCCCCTCATCAGACAGTGAAGAATAGAACTTACTTTGTGCTGGTAGCTGTGTCTCATCGAACCTGGAGAAGCTGTCCATGTATTCATAGGGGTATATCCCTTTCCTCATGAACAGCTGATGGTTTTACAACGTCTTGGTGTGAGTGAATGAGTCATCTGGTGTCGTTTTCACCAGTCTATCAAGTGAGACA